TGATGATTTTCTAAGGTTCAATAAGAGCGATACAATTTCTCCCTCACTACTATGGGAAACATTAAAAGCTTATCTTCGGGGTCAGATTATTTCTTTTTCAGCTAATATTAATAAAAATCTACGCACTAAGATATCAGAAATATCAACAAAAATTCAGAATATTGATAGGCAAAATGCCGTTAATCCGTCACATGATTTGCTGAAACAGCGACAGGATCTTCAGATGGAACTTGATCTTTTAACTACATCTGATGCGGAGCGACTCTTGATACGATCTCGAGCCACTTATTATGAACATGGGGAAAAACCAAGTAGACTTCTGGCACATCAATTGAAACGAAAAGCCGGCTCTCACATAATATCACAAATCAACGATCGGTCGGGCAATCTTGTTTCAGATCCTGTCTCTATTAATGATACTTTTAAAAAATTCTACTGCAATTTGTATAAGTCTGAACTACAAGCAGACTCAAATGAGCTATGTGCCTTTCTTCAGGATATTGACATACCTAGGATAGACAAATTGCTTTCTGACCAACTTGAAGCTCCCATTAAATTAGAAGAAATATTTGCGTCAATTAAGGATATGCAAAGTGGTAAAACACCTGGCTCAGATGGTTTCTCTGCCGAATTTTTCAAAAAATTTAAAGATAAAATAGCCCCTCTTCTTCTTGAGGTTTATAATGAGTCATTTGGGCAGGGCTTGTTGCCTCCCACCTTGACTCAGGCCTCAATTTCTCTCCTGTTAAAGAAGGATAAGGATCCTACTGCCTGCGAGTCCTATAGACCTCTTTCACTTTTGAATGTGGATTTTAAGATTTTGTCTAAAGTACTCGCGACTCGGCTTGAGACAGTTCTCCCTCGGATTATTTCACAAGAACAGAATGGATTCATTAAAGGTCGCCAGTTGTTTTTTAATACTCGTACACTGTTGAATACAATTTTTTCAACTCATTCCTCTAAATCTCCTGAAGTGATAATTTCTCTTGATGCCGAGAAAGCCTTTGATCGAGTGGAATGGGAATATCTCTTTGCTGTTCTTAATGGGTTTGGTTTTGGAGAGAGGTTTGTGTCTTGGATCAAGCTACTTTATACATCCCCTCAAGCATGTATTCTCAGTAATTCCGTCCAATCTGATTATTTTACGGTGGGACGTGGTACTAGACAGGGTTGCCCTCTTTCTCCCCTCTTGTTTGCGTTAGCCATTGAACCCCTATCCGTTGCTCTAAGATCCCTTTCTTCTTTTCATGGAATCGTCCGCTCTGGTGTCGAGCTTAAATTGTCCTTATATGCAGATGACCTTCTCCTGTATGTCTCTGACCCTTTACGGAGTCTTCCCCCAATTTTAAATATTCTAGAAAAATTTGGATCATATTCTGGCTATAAAATTAACTCACTTAAAAGTGAATGCCATCCAGTGAATTCATTAGCTTTAAAGCTTAAGCCTTCTGATATCCCTTTTAGGCTCAGTCCCTCGGGATTTAGGTACTTAGGAATTAATATTACACGTACTTTGCCCTCAATGTTTTCTCAGAATTATGCCTCACTAGTTTCCCAAATTGCATCAGATTTACAGAGATGGAACTCTCTCCCTCTTTCATTGATTGGTAGGATTAATATTATCAAAATGAATGTGCTACCTAGACTTTTGTTTTTATATCAAAATATCCCTCTGTTCTTGCCCAAACAGTTCTTCAGGTCCCTGGATTAGATGGTCTCATCTTTTTTATGGAACGGAAAGGCCCCCAGAATGAGACTTTCTTTATTACAACAGTTCACCACAAACGGGGGTCTTTCTCTACCTAATTTTACAATGTATTACTGGTCCTCACATATCCATAAACTGACTTATTGGTTAAATTCACCTGATCTGATTTGGTGTAAACTTGAAATTCAGTCGATTTCTGCATCTTTTTCGCCCGCTTCAATTATTTATTCATCATTACCAATTAAATTATCCTCAGTTACTACAAATCCTATAGTGCTCTCAACACTCAGGATCTGGTCACAATTTAGGTCCCACTTTAAATTTGTATCACCCTCTAATAAAATGCCGTTACTAAAGAATCACATTTTTTCTCCAGCATTTAATAATGCTGCCTATAGAATTTGGTATGAGAAAGGTATTAGAACAATGAGAGACCTGTACGAAGATGGTTTATTTCTTAGTTTTTCAGAATTGTCTTCTAAATTTAATCTACCCACTTCACATTTGTTTCTTTACTTCCAAATTAGGCATTGCGTTTCATCGCAGTTTCAAAATTTTCTAACTTTGCCTACTGACCCACCATGGGTTGAACTCTTAGTTTTGAGCCCCAATTTGAAATCTCCTCTTTCAATTATTTATGGAAAACTTATGGCAATAGAGGCCGACTCATCGGGTAAAACTAGAACTGCATGGGAACGTGAACTGGGTGTTAAACTATCAGATTCATGGTGGGATAAAGTTATTCTCAGCATACGTCAGAGTACACCATGTGCCAGACTACAGTTAATACAATTTAAAGTAATAAATAGAGTACACTTCTCAAAAACACGTTTATCTAAAATGTTCCCCTCAATACCAGACCAGTGTGATAGATGTCAGACTTCACCTTGCAACTTAAGTCATATGTTCTTTTTCTGCCCAAAACTGCAAGGGTTTTGGAAATATTTTTTCTCCATACTCTCAGGAGTTTTTAAGATTCAGTTTCAAAGTGATCCACTTATTGCTATTTTTGGAGTTCCTGGGACCACACTTAATCTATCCCGCCAGCAGGGGGAGGTCTTGGCCTTTTGCTCTCTCCTTGCCAGACGTTGTATTTTGCTCGCCTGGAAATCTCCCACACCACCATCCACATCACAATGGCTTAATACTGTAAGATCATACTTGAAGATGGAAAAAATTTTACTAACAGTGAAAGGTACTTCAGAAAAATTTACCCACAAGTGGACACCCTTTGTGTCATATGTAAAATCTTTACCTTCATAGCGTATAGACTGATATGATTGACTCATCACATTACCATGTGACTTGTTTTTAGAGGATAAATGAAAGACTGAAATACTGTTTTCCTTTTGGTTTGTTGGGTCCCTCCTGTTCGTTCCTCCTCCCCCTCTCTCTCCTTTTTTTTTTTTTTTTTTTTTTTTTTCCTTTTTTGTCTTGTTTTTGGTTAAGGGGGGAAGGGGGGGGAGGGGAAGAGGGGAGGGAGGGGGGAAAAGGGGGAAGGAAAAAAAGAAAAAATTGGAGAAGTCATGTAAATTTTGTATAATGTATGTAATGTCAATTATATATTCTCCTGATAAATAAAAATTAAAAAAAAAAAAAAAGAAATGGCTTCCTCTTTGCACTGTAGAGTTTCAGCTGGCAAGGGCGGATGGGATGGTGGATTGTGTTCACTGACTATGCTTTCTGGAAGTATTCCTGAGCCCATTATGTTATTTCCTTGACCGTGGCATTCCTGTTTGAGGTGCAGTGACGTTTAAGGGCCCGGAGATCACGAGCATCCAGTAGAGTTTTACAGCCTTGACCCTTACGCACAGCGATTGTTCCAGATTCTCTGAATCTTTTGATGTTATGCACGGTTGATGATGATAACTTAAAAGTCTTTGCTATTTTACGCTGGGTAACACCATTCTGGTATTGTTGCACTATCTTTCTGCGCAACAATGGTGGAATTGGTGATCCTCTTACCATCTTGGCTTCTGAGAGACACTGACACTCTGAGAAGCTCTTTTTATACCCAATCATGTTGTCAATTGACCTAATTAGTGTTAATTGATCTTCCAGCTGTTCGTTATATGCTCAATTTCCTTATTCCAGCCAGTTATTGCTACTTGTCCCAACTTTTTTGGGATTTGTTGACACTGTGAAATTTTGAATCAACATATTTTTCCTTTAAAATGTTACATTTACTCAGATTAAACTTTTGATCTGTCATCTATGTTATATTATGAATAAAATATTGACATTTGCCATCTCCACATTATTGCATTCAGTTTTTATTCACAATTTGTTTAGTGTCCCAACTCTTTTGGAATCTGGTTTGTACACAAAAACAAAACAAAAAATAAACAAAAGTAAACTAAAACTGAATTTCAATGATTATACACATTTGACAAGGTCCTAAATAAAGCAGTGAACAGAGTTTCTGTCACTCAGCTGTGTAAAAGACCTCCAGCTGACCTAAAAGCATGAGTGAAAGCTGTAAAAAAAAGTTATTGTTCTCTTGTCACGAAGCCAAGAGGAGGAATTGAAAATACTCTCCATCTGTGCACCCTACCATCCATCCATCCGTGCATGTGTGGACGATAACTTAAAAAATATGTGAAATGTCGACTTTCATTTAGGTTTTTGGCTGCAACCCCTTTAATTCCAGTCAAGAAAACACTTATCTTGAAAACTCCAAAGATTCTTTATTGAAATTACTCAGCAACGGGGGACATCAGAGAACCACTTATTTTAAAACTTAGCTTTAGTGTTTGTGTCACAACTGGGTCCTTAAACAACTTTTCAAGCTCATCAGTGACTCTTGATCGAAGTTTGCTAACCTGAGTAAATCCCCTGGAAATATCCACTTCCGTCTTGTTCCTTCATCTCAAAATGGTGCATACTGTTGAGAGTAGGCAGCCTAGCAAGATAGTTCACAGCACCCCACTCCCATACCTCTCAATCCTGCATAGTAATGTCCTTATTTATGTCACTTTACAAGCTCATAAATGACCTATGGTCTACAGAGTTCCTCACCTTCCTTCTTTGCCTCTCTACTGATATTGTGACAAGACCAGAAGAAGCAATGCAACACAAAGACAGTGCGAGTGTGACACCAGCTCCAACTTCAAAAGAAAAATGTAGAGTGGTGTACGACAGGCAGCAAACCATATACACTATAAATTTTATAATTTGAAGGACCAAATACCATTCATTTTGTAAAAGATTTGTTGAGATGTTTGGTCTGTTGCATTAATTTTAATGTGTATAAATTTATACATCATATAATTGTATTTGTTTCTGTTTCTAGGATCCCTTTAACCTACCGATCTACAATGACACTCAATGAGCAACCGGCAGACTCAGCTCCCAGTCCCAGCACCTCACACTCTCTAAGGTCCTTCTCCCATTCCCTGAAAGTCCTCTCAATAAACAGCGGTGGGCGCTGCAGTCCACAACTGGGAGGAAACCTCAACCTTAGCAGACGAGTACAGGTTGAGGGAGGATGTGAAAAAGATGTCGTTGATCGATCTCATTCCCCGCTACCACCTCTCCTCACCTCCCACTCCTCGTCTGACCTTCTACGACTGTGCAACGGTAAACCGCTCCGTACAGCTCGGTCCAGTAGCTCATCAGCTCCACCTCTCCCTCCAAAACCCAACCCTGCCTCACTTCCTCCTGCACTGTCCTTGTCCCTGCCACGTCCTCGTGCAGTTTTGTCTTCTTTGCCCAGTGACAACGCCACCCCCCAGTCATTACCTTGTGATTTTGGGGAGCCTCCGAACACCTCTGCCGATTCAAATCTCGAGCTTGACCACAGTTCCACCGGGGTTCGCCGTTCCTCACTACATAGATCCAAGTCAGATTTGTCAGACCGGTATGCACGTGCTGGAGCTGATGTGGAACGCTTTTTTAATTACTGTGGCCTTGACCCGGAAGAGCTGGAGGCGGTTGGTCCGGAGACCTTTGCTCGGGCTAACTCTGACATCATCAGTCTGAACTTTCGATCAGCTTCTATGATCTCCTCTGATTGTGATCAGTCACGGCGATCAACTAATGACGGAATATCAGAGGGGGATGAGGCAGAAGAGGAAGATGAGGAGGCTGGGGAGCGTGTGCCTTACGGCATCTCTGCTGTGGAGCGAAACGCAAGGGTCATCAAATGGCTTTATAGCATCAAACAAGCAAGAGAGACACAAAAGGTCTCACATGTTTAAGACAAACACAGCTGGACACTGGTAATACTATGAACTACAGACAGTCTTTCAATATGGAGAACAAGCTGAAGATTGTGATCTTGAGGTTCCAATAAAAATCTGTTCAAATGTGAAGACTGAAGAATGAAAGGATGGAAAAGAAAGCCTTACAAAAAAGCCCACACAAAATGAAACTTGTAAGGATCCACAAAAGGACTCTCAAGGTTGAGAACAAGGTGAACAAAATGGAAATCAATCCAGCGTAGGCATGTGTAAATAAATAGTCTGGCAACAAAGGTTCTGCAGATTTTTTTTCTTCTTTTGACAGTTAACTGATCAAGCCTGTTAGTTTGCTTAAGCAACAGGAACAAGAGCAAAATGCACTGCTGTTGTCCATGGATCCTTAAAGTGAAACAAGTCTTTCTCATACAACTCATTTAGGCTTGACAAACACATGAGTGAGTGACTGCAGAATAAAGTGCAACCTGGTGTCAGTCCTCTGATGATCACACAAATTTCTGAATTGTTCAGCTGTTTAACAGGGTCATTTCCTCTCTTTCCTATTCGTTTCCCAAATGGGTGATAAATCAGTGAGACACGGGTGAGTTTGTTAGAGGATGTCATCATCTACCAAGTAAACTAGTTGTGTAGTGGGGCTTAGAGAAGCAGGTGTACTCATTTTTGCTAGTTTATTGTTTTAAGGTTAGTCCAATAATTAAGATCTGAGCATGATGCTTATTCTTGCAGCGTTGTTCAAGGGGACATGTGAGTAAGATGAGGCTTACAACCATGTCCCTTAATGCAGAGAGGGTGGCTGAAGGCATACAAAGTGCCAGACTCACTTCTTTGGCCTTTCTTGTCCCTGTATAACCACAGCTGTGTACATCCTTGGCACAAAGACGAGCTCCACCTTGGCACAAAGACAAGCTCCACCATAGCTGCTCCTGGTGTCCAATCATGTTTGTGATGCTCATAGACAAGAGCTCAAGGTTCAGCCACGGAGGGGGAAGGTATCTGCCTGTTTTTTTGCAGATGATGTGGCGTCTTAAAACTATAACGTTCAGCAAGTACTGAGGCTGTTCATAGTTGAATGGGAACCAGCTGATATGTGTGTCAACTCAAATCTGAAGCCACAGAAAGACAAAGCTCTTGATTTACTAGTCCATCTTCAGTCCAACCCTCATCCACAGTATAGGCATGGGGTTATGGATCATGACAAAAGGAATGGGATTCTGGATCCAAGCAGCTGAAATGAGCTTCTCTATAGATTAGACAAACTCAACAAGATGATTGAAACACCAAGTTTTGGCCGTTTTAAACAAACTGGTACATTCCAAACTGAGCTTGACATTCTAAAATCATAACCAGTGTCTTAACTGTAAGGAAAAAGAGCTGAAAAGACATGGGCTACAACAGAAGTCAAAACTGCACACTGTTCCCAGAATCGTTCTGACATTGCTTGATATTTGTTGTAGGTCATCTTTGGTCAGGAGAATTCTGAACCATCTGTTGGCGAGCTTGGTGCATGGAACAACAACAGGGTGCATATTCAAGGTCATGACTACTGCTTTTCATCTAAATTTATTTCCACCATAAGAGAATTTGTCTAAGGCAGCATGAACTTGGTTTCAGAGATGGAGGGGTGGGGGTGGGGGGGGTCAGAGTAGAGTCGCTGGTCCTTATTGAAACGAGTTAACTGACACTTTCTGGGTGGTTCTAATGTGTATTCTTCTTAAAAGAGACCACTTGGCAGAGCCCAAACTTTCTGAAAAGATTATGTATCTGCTGTGGAAACCCCTTGGAATTCCCTAGGAGGAGTGGGATGTCTGAGTTTCCCTGTTAGACCTGTTACCTCTACAATCCAATTTCAGATGAGCAGTTGAAAGTGGGTGAACAAATAAAGGTCTTTGTAGCAGAAGATAGATGTAACTAATTCCTCGTGTTAGTTATATACAGAAATAATGCCATATTGTTTACCTGAAATTGTCCCCAACATGTGAACATTGTCAGTTTTATTTTAGCGGTCTATGAACAAATCATCTGCTTTCAACAGGTGGATGGACTAAGGAATACACAAAAAATGTTTGTTTCACTTTGTTGCTGGAGGCACATTTCTGCTAAATCAGCTCCTTTTCTGTAACTGATGTGATGGAAAACATAGAGGATTTAGAAGTGAGTTCATTCTGTGCTCAATGAAAAATAAGTGGGTATTTTCTGTATACCCTGTACTACATCACTGGTACTAATATCTGTCAGAAAAGGTCTCCATTATAAACATGATGTGTAAATCCAACAGGAGTGTTGTCTTTTTCATCTAAACCTTCTTCCAAGCAGCCAGTTCTGTCCTGCTGAATGATGGCAACAAAAAACCTGATGGCTAAAAACATTCATGCTCTGTTAAAGAACATATCTCACCATAACAGGTTGTCCACACATTATTCTGTCTCAAGGGGAAAATGGCCAAAGGGTTAGCTATTAGCAGCTGTTGGTGTTAGTCCAGCTTCTGCACAAGGTCTCTATTTTAAATGAAAATGGTCTTATTTACTTTAAATGTGGCTTATTGGTGACTGCCTAGAAAGGCAGCCACCTATTATTGTTGTAGGGGAACACCACCTCAGAAAAAGAACACCTCATCTCAGAAAACAGTTCATCTCAGCTTAAACAAAAAAAGAGTTCACCTCATCTCAAACAAACATCATTCATATGTTTTGTGTTTAAACTGTTTAAAATAAGATGCATCCATTCCCTTGAGAACAAACAGACTTTGCTTTACAGGTGTTCAACTCAGCACTAACTTAGTTGACACTAATGAACGTGTAATAAAAAAAAAAAACTTTTACTGTGCTAACTTCACTTTCAATATGAACTCATTTCCCATGAAGTGGACAGATCGTTTTAACGAGTTTTGTTTCAACTGACCTCGAAGTGTAACATCTGCTGAGACTTTAATTTTATTTTAAAAAATGAGTATTACTCCCAGGATGGGTTCCCATGAAGATAACACATTTTACCATACCATATTTATTTATAAAGCACTTAAAACAGCTACAAAGCCAACCAAAGTGCTGTACAGACAAAACAACAGGTGACACACAAAGCAAAATACAAAATGAAGTAAATCAGAATGTAGACATAAAAATGATGCAGATAATGACGACAAACCAGTGTGGAGCATAAAGGATCAAAACACAGATCCTCTGGTGTTGAAAGCTACTGAATAGTAGTGAGTTTTTAAACGGGACTTGAAAACGGAGAGGGAGGGGTCCTGTCTGACAAACAGAGGTAACTCGACACTGTTCAGTGATTTGTAGACATACATGAGTATTTTGAACTGGATTCGAAAGTGAACCGGTAACCAGTGCAGTGAGGCCAAAACTGGTGTAATGTGCTCTCTTTTGCCTGTACTGATTAAAAATGGGGCTGCTGCATTCTGGACCAGTTGTAGTCGTGCAATGGAGGTCTGACTGATACCAAACAGGAGCGAATTGCAGTAACCAAGCCTAGATGTAATGAATGCATGTATTACTGTCTCCAGGTTATTTTTGGACAATATGGGCTTCAGTTGGAAGAAACATGATTTAACAATCATGTTTACATGATTGTTAAACTTCAGGGAAGGGTCCATTATCACGCCCAGATTAGTGACTCTTTGTTTTTCTGACAGGGTTAGAGCAGAGAGGTCGATGCAGTGGTTTGTGATCGTGTTGTTGGGAGGGAACAACATGACTTCAGACTTCTTTTCATTGAAACTTAAGAAATTTAAAGCCATCTAGTCCCTGATGTCAGCCAGGCAGTTGAGCAAGAGGTTGAATAGAGCATGTACCATTGTGTCTTAGGAGGAAATAAATTTGACAGTCATCGGCGTAGAAGTGGAAGGGCATGTTGTGTTTCCGGAAAATAGCACCAAGCGGCAGCAGGTATAAAGAGAATAGGAGGGGACCCAGGATGGACCCCTGCGGAACACCCCCCCCATTTAAGCTCTGCCTCTGCGGAACTAAAATCATTGACGGAGACACAAAAGGATCTGTCAGTGAGGTAAGATCTGAACCAATTGAGGGCTGATCCTGTGACGCCCACCCACTGCTCCAACCTAGCAATGAGGATCTCATGGTCGATGGTGTCAAAGGCGGCTGTGAGGTCCAACAGGACAAGCAGCACAGAATCACCAGTATCTGTGAATCTGAAGATGTCGTTAAAGACCTTCAGCAGGGCAGTTTCAGTGCTTTGGAGAGGTTTAAAGCCAGATTGGAAAAGCTCTAAGATGGCGTGATCCTCCAGGAAGCACTTCAACTGGGACTCGACTATTTTCTCCAGTACTTTAGAAACAAATGGGAGTTTGGAGACAGGCCGGAAGTTGGAAACGACTGAGGGGTCAAGGTTTGGTTTTTTCAGGAGAGGCTGGACGGCAGCATGTTTTAAGGTTTTTGGCACCACGCCAGTGGATAAACTACTGTTTACTATATCAAGAATGGACGGACCTAGAGTAGGAAAAACCTCCTTTAGTAGTCGAGGGGGGACCACATCAAAGGGGGAGCCAGAAGGTTTCAAGCTGCACATGACCTGCTCTAGAGAAGATGGAGTGATGGGTTCAAAATGGTCGAAAGGAGCTACAGATTGAGGTGGGATGGATGGGTCATGAGTTGGAGGGGAAATGAGAGCTCTGGTGGTCGCAATTTTTTCCAAAAAGAAATGTAAGAAGTTGTCGCACAGCTCAGTCGAGGCTTCCAGAGGTGACGGTTCAGTGAGGTGGAGAACAGAGTTTAGGGTGGAGAAGAGGACACATGGGCTGTGAGAGTTTGAGGTTATGATATCAGAAAAGTATTTGGATTTAGCAGCTTTTACTGTTTTCTGATAACGGCGCCAACTCTCTTTAAGTATTTGAAAAGAGACCTGCAGCCTGTCTTTCCTCCACTTTCGCTCCGCCCTCCTACATTGCTGCCTAACAGCCTTGGTGACGTCACTCAGCCAAGGTTCTGCTCTCAGTTTTGATTTTTTTTTTGGTTTTAACAGGTACAACATGATCCAGAATCTTTAAGCAGACAGAGTTGAACTGGGATGTCAGCTCCTCAGTGGTGGCGAGAAACACTGGGGGCTGAATTGTCATTTCAGAGTTATAAACATCTGTGAAACGTGTGGCAGTGAAGTGGTTAATGGTCCGAGTCCTACGTGCAGAAATGCACGGCTTAGGAGTTAGATGGGGGAGGGTGAACTCAAACCGGACTGGCATGTGGTCTGAAAAACATTATCACCAATAACAAGATTATTAACAGTCACATCATGAGTTAAAACAAGGTCCAGTGTATGTCCACGCTCTTGGGTGGGACCGTTTACATGCTGAGTTAAATTAAATGAGTCCA